TGGGATTGCACGTGGTCAATCGCCCTTAAACTTCATGCTATTTTAGTTGGAAACGTTGCTGATTGGTCTTCAATTGTCAAAATACATAAAATATAGCGCATACACAGGGTGCATATATATTGTTTGATAACATGTAATATCAAATCTTTGCTTAATATCCCGAAAATATCGCATATTTCCCGAAAAATTTCCCAGGTTTCCCGTTTCCCGGCAAAATCTCCAGATTCCCGGAATAAATTTGTTTTCCCCCGAAAAAGGCCTTGTTACAGCTGTCACCCCCGTTCTTATAGACCACAGGAATGATGTCAAAGGGTAAGAAATGTCAAGTGGAGCAACCAGCCAAGTCAGACTTTAATGAAAACTTAGAACAGTTTGATTTTGTTTCTGTGGTCTGTACACTCATAGATCATAGTTCTAGACCAATTCGTCCTTCTTAGAAACAAGAAGGGAACTGAGCTGAAATGTGTCGTGCAATAATATACCTGGGATAGTTACTGGGGATGCGCCTGTCAGCTATTGGCCAATATTCTCCCCGTCTCTAGTAACAGTCCCAGATGTCTTTGCAACAGTTAACTCGGCCCAGTTTCCTTCTCATTTGTAAAATCATGAACGAGTATGCAAGGAATAATCTATTTATGATAGAATAAAAAGTGCATTTACAAGGATGGTCGCAGAACAAATGCTTTTTGTGTTCCGAATATATCCCCAAACATGGATAATTTTTTTCAACACGTGGATGAGCAAGTTATACAATGTGATTATTGTACAATTCTTACAGTTTGAGAAGCATAGAGCTCCAAAATCGCTCTAGGTACATCTTCCTTCTGCTTTATATTTCCATATTTTTTCTTTCGTTTTAACCGTCTATTTTGCTGTTTTCATCTGTTTTAACATTCCACTTTGCTTCCGCTACGTTTGCTTACGTTCGCGTCCCCCCAAATAATCCTATGAATGCGCGCGCGCCTAGTTTGGGTCCCAGGCCATCTTTACCAAAGTGAGCTACAAGTTATAAGCCGATTCACATCTTACAAACGTTTTTTCAAAAGAGGGAACTCAAGTTCGATAAAATATGAGTCTCTCAGTAGAAGAAACTGGAACCCTTTCATACTTATTTAATTTTTTCGGTGAGGATAAAGAAAGTGTAAACAGCTAGACGCATCTCAATAATTCACCGACATCATAAAGAAAGTAAACGAGCCAGAAATTTAAAAAATAAGAATAATCAACATCATCAGAGAAACAGGTCCTGAGGGGCATTACAAGTTAGCTCAGGAAAAGTCTGCATTTAGCTTTCAGAAACGGTGCCATAGAATCAGCTAATATCTATCCACCCCTTCATGCGACGCCTTCCTCATTTACAAATATCTAAGCTTAAACAAATCATCAAATCAACTTTAAACAACAAAAGAATCCTGACAGCGGTTATATTTCATGTTGTGGCAGCGTTAAAAGAACCCAAAAAGTTAATAACTTTAGTGTCATTGTCTGAGAAAGTGTTCAAGGGGCCAAAAGTTGTGGTCAACCGATTCGGCTGAAACTTGGCTCAGAGGTTGGATGTGACGAGATATTTCAAAAGCCACTTTGGCTCACTTCTCTGACTTTTAGTTTTGCAGTTACAAAAACGGTCTCATTTTTAGCCCTTTGAACACCAAAAATTCAGGGGGCTTTTTTAAAATGCCGTAACACCCCACTGGTAAATTGTGCTGCCAAATGAATTTGACCATGAACTCTTCTATAGTAGAGCTTTCGGTTTATGCTTCAAGGTATTGCACAGAGAGAAGCCTGGGGCTAGAGTTTCGCCAAAATTGATGGTAAAATTACAACCCCAAATAGCCATTTTTCAAAATTTCAGTATATTCACCTGCCTTCTTACATAACTTTAATACCTATACCACTGTTTACTTTAGTCACCCAATTATCAAAATCAGTTGAGAAAAATTTGGCTTATGATGGTTTGTTGAATTTTTTTGGAACAAACACTTCATGCCCCTCTAAGGCAATGCAAAATGGAATTTTGAACATAATTCAGGTCAGAAACAAACCAAATTGTTGACAAGAAGCCCTTATTCTGTATTTGGTAAGTGAAAATGAATTGCCAAAGCCAAATCAGTTTCGTTGTTTAGAAATACACCGACTCTTACCTAAAAGTTGACCTGAAACGGGCCTCTGATTAGCACAACAAACACATGATTTAGCAAAACAAGGGTGATTTTTTCTTTGAAAACCTAGTAGCCATCATAGAACACAAAAGATGATGATCTGACCTAGATATAACGATCTTCTTGCAAGATGTTTAAATTTTTCTTTGATTTATAGTCAGTTTCATGTCATATTTCTAAGCATTACTCCAAGCATAAAATAAGTCTCCATATTTTGTCAGGCCCATTGTTTTATATTTTTCCCAGATAAAGTTAGCTTAACAAAACGTCCGTTAACATATAATCTTCGTCTGACCTTGTAACAGCCTGAATAATTGTTGTAAATATCCATCAGCAAAAGAGTATGACCATACATACATAAGCTTACATCAAACAGAACTGAAAATATGAAACCATCCATCCACATCCAGTTAGGAGAGCTGGATAACAAAAAGCTTTTGTTACGTTTTTTTAAAGAAAATAACCCAAACAAAGCCTTGCATTGACATGATACAATTGTTATTATATCAAATTAACTGGCCCGCCATTTTGGAGTTGGAGAGTGTGGGGACTGGACCGAGTTCCCACGCAATCCCTCTCCCGTTCGCGTTTCCCGTCATGGGCTGTGCAAGAAACAGGAATGATTCCTTTGTTATCTAGCGATAGTGACATGACTGCATGGTTAAAAATAAAGGGCAAGTAGAAGGATTCAGGTGTGTCCGGGGAAGAAGATGAAGAACTGGTGGTACCAAAGTTACAGGTGATTCAAAAGATCAGTTAGGGATCATACACGCGCACAAATGGCTTAAATCGCGATCTAGTTGACTCTTCTGATTGAAGAGAGAAGACGATATATAATTTACGATATTGTCATCTCAAATTTCTTGTTTATTGTTGATTGATTCCCATGTTAATTTTGTGGGTCCTTAGGAAGAGCACTAAACATTCAACAAATTTATCGTAGCAATCTCTATATACAAAAAACAAACAAACAAAAAAAAAACGTTTCAGCCAAATCGGTTGACCACAACTTTTGGCCCCTGGAACACTTTCTCAGACAAGGACTCTTAAAAGTTCACGTCGTTTCAGTTTTCGGAAAACAGACTTGGAGATTCTGCGTAAGTTTGTTCGCAAGAATTCATCTGTGAACACTGCAAAACTTTGACCAATCTGTGACTAGTTTGGTCCTGGAGGGGGACCAAAAACGCTCCCAAAAAAAAGCGGGGAGGGAGACGCCTATGAATTGCCGACGCTAATCGCGTTCCGGTATGCTTTTGCATAAATTTATTTTTGTTTTTTTCTCTGACAGTTGAAAAGGTGATGATGGACCATATGTCCCCGATGCGCAAAAGGTGGATAGCGCTATCTACCGGATAAATCTCCATCAACTGGATAGCGTAATTGGTTTTACTAATACTTATCCACTGGATAGTGATTTATCCGGTGGATAGCGCTCTATCCAGATGTTGAACAGCAGAGGCCAGGACTCTTGCACAGCATATTCGCAGTTATTCTCAGCCTAGGCCTTTTTATAGCAAGGCTCTCAGTAGAATATCTGGCTAAAATGTCAGTTGTTGGTACTCTTTTTTATGACGAGTACATCGTTCTTTCGAGGATTCTGACACATGTTCTTCCGTCTTACTGGAAGTCATGAAGACGGTCTGTTTCCAGTAGATCGATTTTTTCTCTGACCAAATTTTGATCTCGAAAGCGACTTATCGAGGTTTACATTTCCAATCAAGCGTTTTTTGCAAGAGTTTTATACAGCAGGTTTCAAATATTTAATTAAAGGAAGAATCGAATAGTTTCTTTCTCTTCATTTAAACGTTAGAGCTCTTCTCGCGTCGTCTGTGCGCTACGAGTCATGACCGGCACATGTATGCCGAGAAAGTAACTCCCACGCAATGTCCACGCTGAAATCCAGATTGAATTCTGCCTTTAAGTCCTCCTCGGCAGAGTACACATGCAACCACACTTGGTGCAGTAAACAGCGCTTATCTCACTTCACATGCTAGAAAGCCGAAAAACATTTACGTATCATTTTTTTGGTAAGTTGTCAACAAAGGCTGAGGTTTTCCGCCGGAAATTCTGAGATTCAGTTACCAATCACAACACCGGAAATTACTTATGCCACAGCGTTACATGTTAACTTATCAGAGGCCTTCCCAGGCATTCTGGGGAAACCGGAACACGAATAGCGTTGGCGATTCACAGACGCCTCTCTCCCCTATTTTTTTTGTGCGAGGGGGCGTCTGTACAATTGGCTGCTTCTAGCTAGGTGAACTGATGTTTTGCTAAGCGAAATGTCTTGGATTCCCTGTCCCCTCCCTTGCAGAGTGTACTTAGTCCTATTCAGTCCTTCCCTGTTAGATCATACGTACTTACGGGAGTGCGCTGACGTCATAACCAAATTTTCTTTCATCGATAGGTTTCCATTTTTTTATGGCAATGAAGGCTCCGCTATCATGGAGCTTACTGCAACTGCTTTGGGCGTGGATTTTTTATTGTGGAAAAACGCAATAATTCCTCGCGAAGAGAGTTTATAATCGTGTGAACCTTATGAGGTCTTAGTCAGCTGCAAACTCGGACGCCCCATATTCACGGTGGGGCCAGACCACCCCTTCTATGTGCGCGAAACGCGTGGGTAGTTTTTTTCAAAATGGCGCCGAAAAAGTCTGCAAAGGCTTCTGGGTGCCGCCATATTGGATTTATCTCCGGAATAGGCCGAGTTTTAGCCGATATTTTGGGAAACTGGTACGAGCAATGTAGTTTTGGCGGTCACTTTGGGAGAGTTGAATTCGTTAGCTTCCTGTCGGTGTGCGATTAAGTGTATCCTAGCTCGATGAATTAGGAAAAAGTGAT